ATGAATCACTCTTCTACTTTGCCATGACCCCAGATGTCAACCCTCTACGACTATCTCCTTCTTCCTAGCGTGTCTCTGTCGATGCCCTTCTAACTAGACTTCACTCTATCAGCCACGCACACTCTGCTGTGGTTTGAATCTAAAACACCTTCCATGGGCTCGTGTTGTTCCCCCAGACAGTGGCAGTGCTGGGGCATACTCTCTTATGAAACAGAGCCCTCGCTGGCAAGAGTAGGTCACTAGGGGCAGTACCAACCTACGCCCTAGCTCTGGTTCCATGATGTGAGGAACACCTTCAGTATTCTGACCACTATAAACCCTGCCATGCCTCCCCCCACTTTGATGGACTGAGATGCTCTGAAACCATAAACCAAAATAAACCCTTCCCCCTTACATCATTCATATCTAGGGTTTATAACGAGGATATGCGGCATGAACCCTAGAAAACTTATTTGTGAATAAAAGTTTTATCCTCAGCCTCCGAGCATTTGAAGGGGACTAGCTCACCTGTTTCATTTTATCAGGCTATGCTTCTAGTTTCAGCCCAATGAGTCAAAGCTGATTGGAAACAAAGGCAGTCACCTCCCTAGCCTGAGAACTCTGCAGTGCCAGAACAGCCCCTAGGACATGCGTGCCTCGGTGACTGCTCTGTGCCACAACAGGTGCAGACTGATGTGCAATCTAAAATAGCGGTCAGTGAATCTCTCCCAGCCTTCTCCATGTTCCATGCTCCTGAGAGCTCGGCCAGCCTTCACACACTGTGCTTGAGTGGGACTGCTCCCAGCCACAATTCAACCTGTCTACCCGGCACCCAGTGTGCCACTTTCCTGCTCCAAAACTTCAGTGCTCACTACTGATTGTTACTGGATGGGAGTTTTCAGACTTCCATAAATGTTAACCCCTGCCCAGGCCAATCTGCTTTCTCACAATCTGAAGTTCTGCAACTAAACGCAGCACTGTGCAGTCCCACACAGTGACCCGCATGTCTGACATTTTCCAAGCCTACATCCAACAGCAGTGCTTTAAAAGCTTTTCCCGTGCTAGACCATCCACTGGGACAACTTTGACCACTTTGCTTTGTTTGTGATATAGGGAATATGCAGTCTTCATCATTACAAATAGGTATTTTAAAGTAATTGCTTACATCTAAAATTAAGCAAAAAAAGTTTGTCTTTAAGTGTAACTAAGTTGCTTCAAAAGATGGTTTTCCTTTTTTTTGGTTTTTATTTCTATTTTTTAACTGATACATAAATATACACATATGTCTGGAGTGCTATATGATGCTTGCAATGTGTGCATTGCATAATGTTCAAGTCCAAGTGCAAGTGTGACTATTTTCTCCAGCTTTTACCGATTCTTTGTGATGGAAACATTCCAATGCAGCTGGAGCAGTGCTTCAGGAGGTAGGAGCTCTTCCAGAGAACGGGAGTTCAGTTCCCAGCAGCCGTGTTAGGCAACTGTCTGTAACTGCTCCAGGGGCTCCAACACCTTTTTCTGGCCTCCCCTGGAACCCACACTCACAAACACATACACACATAAACACACACAAAGATCAAAACGAATTTATAAAATAAGAAAAAATTGAAATTATCCTCTGCTGGTACTTTATTTTTCAATTATACAAATAAACAGCACATTATCATAGTCAGTCGTCACTCTACGATGCAAAAGACCGTTCAAATGCATCCATCTTGCTGGACTAACTTGTTACATTTGCTAAGCTTTTGACGTCACTGTCGCACCTCATTCTTCCAACACTTAAGGAACCGCTTTCCTTTCCTCGGCTTCTGAGATCAACTGTTTTATATTCCACATATGTGTGAGATCACACAGTGATTGTTTTTCCGTATCTACATCATCTCATTTAACACAGTGGTTTATAACATCAGGCTAACATCAGCACCAAAGGGTTTACAGCATTCCTGGGGGAAAATAAGGACTATTATTTCTTTGGGTGTGTCTGTGTGTCAGTCTGTCTGTCTGTGTTTTACATGTATGCGAATGCATTGTCTGTTTTAGGTGTATGTGTATGAAGTGTGTGTGTGTTCTGTTACATCTCTGTGTGTTCCTGTCCATGTGTGCATGGAGCTCCACATGTGTGGAGAGATCAGAAGCCAACGTTAGGTGTTTCCCCACTCACTTCCACCTTATTTTTGAGGCAGAGTCTCTCGCTGAAGCTGGAGCTCACACTGGCTGGACTGACAGCCAGAGAGTCCCAGGACCCCTGGCTCCAGGACTACAGGCACACCCTGCTACACTCAGCATTTTGCATGGGCTCTAGGATCCCAAACTCATCTTTTCACGCTCATGTGGCACACACTGCAAGAACTGAGCAGACCACATCTTCCATTTCTGTGCACTGTGGCAATGGCACAGCCCCAGGGTGTTGGTAATGAATTAGCCCATCCTATTGCAGGGGAAAACACACACACACACCCTCCAATGAAGGCTTTTCATAGGCCTCTGAGTCCCCTCCCCACTTACCCAGACTTCTCCGGAGACCTCTGTGTGCAGCCCCATTTAGTGAACAACATCTCAAGTAGCTGTTGGATGTTCCCACCTGAGTCTGATTCTGCCAAGACAGGAACACTGAGTAGGATCATTCCTGCCAGCCTTCTCCAGCCCACTGATTCCGTCATGCTGTCCAGCCAGCCTCCATCTGGTCCATGCTGATACCAATTCTTCCTTGACATTCCATGTTTCTCTTGCTCTAACATCTCTGGCTTTGTCTGGGATATAATTAATAGTTATTTGATTCACAAAACTTATGTACAAATTTTGTATATCATTGGGACTGGAAAGCCTGGCAGAGAATCAATCAAAGTACTTGTTTTGTAAAACATCACTCACTGTAAAAGAAAGTATAAAATACTAAGCAGAGAACATATTTTTAAAACACATTTAATATTCCTATAGAACATCTTCCATATAGTCAAACCTTGTCTTCTGGCACAAATACAAAGTTTAAAATACTCAAATGATCTGTGAAATACAAACATTTCCATCTACTAATTTTAAATCTTATATCCCACAAATTCTGTTCATTTTTACAAATAATTTGAAGCAAAACAAGGCCTGATTGCATTTACCTGTAACCCCAGGACTTAAGAGGGAGAAGCAGGGGGTTAGGAGATCAAGGTCATCCTCAGCTACATAGCAAGTTCAAGTTCAGCTCAGTACCTATATGAGCCACTGTTTCTCTGAAGTAACAGTAATAATAGCAATCATTTGGGCCGATATACAGAATCAAGGTATGTAAAACAAAATATGTAAAATAGGTATAAAACCATGATCATTGATTATCAGAAAATCTTAATGTGCTTTCTGTGAGTATTAAACTTAGTTTTGAGTTTTATATCGGGTAATCAAAAAAAGATGAGTATTAGATTATACCATTTTATTATTCAAAGAAAAGAATGGGGGAGGAGAAGGAAGAAATGGGGAAGAGCTCGTACTTGCGAAGGCTGTGGTTTCCTGGGAGCGCTGGCTCCTCGGCCTCATCAAGGAGACACTGCTCTTGTCCTCATTTGTTTCTGTTGCTGTGACAAACACCATGACCAAAAGGAAGTTGAGGGGAAAGGGTTTATCTCATCTTACAGATTACAGTCAGTTATCAAGGAAATCCAAGGCATGAACTCACGGCAAGAACCTGGAGGAAGGAACTCAAGCAGAGACTGTGGAGGATGATGCTTCCTGGCTTGCTCCCTGTGACTTGCTCAACTACCTTTCTTAGCCAGCCCAGATCCCCCTGCCTAGGGATGGCACTGCTCACAGTGGGCTGGGCCATCTACCATCAATCGGCAATCAGAAAACTACCCCGCAGAGACCCCCACTGTGCAGGCTAATGGAGGTAGCTCAGCAGTTGAGGCTGCTTCTCCCTAGGTGCGTGTAACTGACAAACAAGATTAGCCACAGAAGTCCTATAATGACAGAGATGTTTCTCAACTCAAAACTCTGAAGTGGGATTCACTATCTGTGCTAGAGATGTAGTCCAATTCATGACTAGGAAAGTCATAAAGACAGAATTGCTTGTTTGCTAATTACATTTCCATGCTGCCAAACATTAGAAGCTACATGACTTGCCTATTGTGGTAAATACTGCATGTGAGTATATATTAATGAGTATAAATGAACTCAACAATGTTCCTGCCTCAATAGTCTGAACTAAAGGCTAGGCGTGTTTCCTGTCCCTCCTGCCTCACCAAGTGATCATATTAGTGACAGTGAAATTCCTCAGTACGGGAATCAAAAGCACTGGCTTTAAAATAGTCCATGAATAGAAACTGGATTGAAACTTATTCCCAAAGAAACAATAATTGAAAGCATTATGCTTTATATGTAATAATGATAATGTTATGTATTATAATTATATTATGATCCTATGAAGCAAGGCTACACTCAGTGCCCTGCCGGTCTAGCACATTACAGATGTTTGATAGTCACAAGTTCCCATTGAGTTGTTCCAGCATTATTAGACCCAAACACCGTATGTTGAAGACCCCCTTTGTTGAAGACCCCATGAGATGTAGAGGCATGTGACAAGATTGACAGTTTAAGGCTCTAACTCGCACACCCCAGAAGGTTTAAGAACATCCATCCCTGGCTTACCTATGGCTACAGGCTAGGGGATACCCATAAAGTTGGTAAGCAGCCTCCTAGCAAAAATTGTTTTCCTACACTGTTATTTCCAAGTTCCTTCTCTTTGGTGGTCACGCATTTGTAAGAACAGATGGGTGCTCCTAAGCAAGGCTTCGTGATCCTAGTGTCCAAATTAGACTAGTTATAGGGGTGTCCTGGAGCTTTTGGTTCTCAAAGCGAAACTTTATGCTATGGGAAATTAGAGCCACAAGGAATCCCTTGTCGTGGCTGCTCATCACACTCCTGAAGACCTCTCCTTGGCAGAACGTGTGTGTGTGTGTGTGTGTGTGTGTGTGTGCGCGCGCGCACACACACAATAGCAGCGCATCTGTGGAGATCAGAAGGACAAACTCCTTTACAATGTGGGTCCCAGGGATCAAATGCAGATAATCAAGTCCTTACCTGTTGAACCATCTTGCCATCCCTTGACAGATCAGTTTTTAAAATGCTGTAACCTTCCTGTGAGCTTCCACCTGTCAGTCAAATTCCACCCCGGAAGACTGTATGTTTCTGTCTTCCACACGTCCAGTGAGAGCCTTAAGGTGTCTGAAGGCAGGTGCTGTATCACCTAATAGTTACCTTCCTCCAGTTTCAGCAGCCTCTAACTTCAGCCTGCTTTCCACAGCCGGGAATCCCCTTCCGCATCTTGGTTTCCTTCGTCTGAATGAGCCCAGGTACCTCATCCTTCTCCCCACCTTTCATCCTTCCGCCTGCAACTAAAGCGCATGCTTGCCTGACCAGTACCCTCAAGGAAATTACAGTACTAGGTGCTAACTAAAATCACACCCAAAAGCTAGTGAGGCAGAGTTATTTCTCTAATCCTGCACCTCAAAACATATTTTAGCCAAGAGAAGAAGTTGACATCTACCCGGACAACATTCAGTCACTCTAGCCTACTCCAACTTCTGCTGCTCCACATTCAATGACCCAGTACAGTCATCATTTTATGACTGTAATCAAGGGGAAAATCCACTTCAGATGCCCTTTGGATTGGGTTTCAATGAATAGATACAATGTTTCTGTTATAAAACATGCTCTCCACATTCTTCCTCCTTTCTGAACTTCTATCACAAATGGCCTGGAAGAAGCAAATGTTGCCATACCATTTTGAAATTCCAAACTAAAAGGAGCCATCACCCTGTTAACCTCATTCTGGCAAAATACTACAAGCCTGTTGTGATTTGGATGTGAATGTCCCCTCAGGCAAGAGTTTGTGTTTAAACACTTGGTCCCCACATGACAACCCCAACATGCACTAGAAGAACACAGTGAGAAAAACGTTTGTCTCCTGACTTTCCCCCACACTCATCCTAGCACAGTCACCCTCTAACCTGTAGTCAGCCTTGCATTTCCCTCCCCTCAATGGGCTTCCAAACATGTGAAGAAACCTCGAGAGTTCCTGCAGGATTTCCCAGGGGCTGGTTGCATATAAGCCAACTGTTCTTTTCTAACAGAAGATGGACAGAACGGTGTAAGAAGAAGAAATACTGGCTGGGAATGCCAGTGGCTTTGAAGGAACTGCCGATCTTTCATTCCTTGGAGCTTTCTGGCACAGTTGGAGAGATTCAAGTGTGATGTCAGAGCAAAGCAGTGTCTTCAGCAACCCACAAATGAGAGGAGAGAGTGTGGAGACGGCAGCAGTCGCCCTGCAAATTGGTCATTCCTCTGGAGGGGCCAGTGTTGGAGGAAGCTCCAGTTACCTTCCCTTGTCTGAAGACTCAGACAAAGAAAAGGTGCCCTGTGCCTCCTCTGGTCCTGGTATTTCTATGGTTGCTTAAAAGAAGAGGAATGTTCCAGAAGGGTGAACTGGTCAGCGCTAAAAGCCTATTTTCTCAGTGTTGACAAGGAGCTCTGACACACACGGTCGAAGGAAAGTGCTTTTCTCCACCAAACAGAAAGGCACCTAAGGAGAAATGTCTACCCAGATGCTCTCCAGTCCTTGTAGAACTATGCCCTAGGGACATTGATAAAAGGAACTTTCCTCACTCCATAAGTGGCCTTGCTGCCTTGTCCAGCAGATGCCCAGCAAAAGAAAATAGCAGGAGCTTTATAAATAAGTCTGTTTAGAAGGAATCTAACCCAGAGTTCAGGTTAGCTGTGCTCTGGGACCCGCAAGGGTCTGCACCAAGCTCTTGCTAGGTTTGTTCTGTGAGTAGCATTTCCAAACACTTTCTTTAAAGTGTGTAATAGTCAAGTTCCAGAAATAATTATGCACCTAAAGAAAGGATCCTTCCGTTGAAGATCAAGAAAAATTACAGGTGAACAGAGGGGGGAATCAACAACACATCAGCCAGAGTTCTTTTAGCCTTTACCCTGAAGCAAACCAAACAAAATTAAATATTTAATGAATTCTCAGTCTGCATCCAACCATTGCAAGCAGAAAAATGACAAGATGGCTTCTAAACTTAACCTTTAACCCTAGGTCCCTCGCCCAGGGATACTGCTAATGGCGTGTGACAAGTGAGGTGAGCAGGGGCTGACTTCTGGGGTGACACAGAGCTCATGCATCCTTAAAGCTGCAGTAATGTCAAATGCATTTCAGCTCATTTAAACACTGTAGTTGCAGGAGCATTGAGAAATTCAGCGGGCGGGTGATTTGTGCTGCATATTGTCACTCAAAGAAGGGATAGATTTTTATCTGTTGCGTTTTTGGAACAAATAAATAAATAACGCAAACAAAACATAACCACAAAACCTGCAGGGCCATACAGAATCCCATTCCCCGGGGAACTACTAATCGATCAAAACTTGCTTTTGAGCTATAAGCTTTTCCATGAAGATTTTCTTGGTTCTGCTGGGCTAAAATGTTTTCTTCCTTGGGCTGCTAGGGCACCTTCCATCTTAGTAGTAAACAGTAATAAATTAAAATTACTAAGTACTTGCTACTTAACAGGCATAGTTCTAAGTACTTTCAGTCCTTTAATTATTCCCACCAGGCCAGTGCTATTGTTGTTATGCCCGTTTTGCAAGTGAGAAAACGGACAAAGTGACTATCTTGCACAGTCTACTTCAGTGGCCAGAGGCAAATACAAAACTGAAACTTTGCAAAGTCCAGGGGTCTGGACCTGTGGTATCCATACACTCTGAGAACTACATCACAAGGCCTTAACTCTCTCTCTACTGGATACACCATCAGAGGAACCAGCAGTATTTTATCCATTTATAGGTGAAGGGGCAAGTTTTCAGACACCTGTTCAAGTTCTTTGTCAACATTTTTGACAGTGAGCAATGGTCTCTGCTGTTTACATTCTTTTGTGCCAATTCAAAGGCACAAAATTGAATTCATGTTACCTTCCTTAATTGGTAATGGTATGTGTGTTCTAGGGCAGCTACCATTAACATGAGCAGAATCACAGTTTTTCTTGAAAAATTGTTATGGGCCTTTATACATATTAACTTATTTAACACCATGTAACAGATGTATTCTAGCAGAAGATGGCTTTATGCATGAACTGCCAGCCTTGCAAGCATAAGGCTCGGAATTTGACCCTTAGAAACCATGCGGTGGCAGGCAGTGGGAGGTGGGGGGGAGGGGGAAGCAGACATGGTGACTTCGCTTGTGATGCCAGAGCTGGGGAGGCAGGAATTCCTGAAATCCACGTGGAGGGTTCTTGGTCAGTGACAGATCCTGTCTCAAAATATAAGGTGGAGGGTGGTTAAGGAAGAACCCTTGTGGCCTCTATGGGCACAGGAACACACAAACACACCTGCACATGAACATATGCAAAATACATGTCACCCCTTTGATGTTGCCAGTTTCACATAGCAGGGATAATGAGTAACCCAGAAGTCATATATTTATTTCTTAAAAGTTGACTCAGCTCATATCCATAGGCTAGCTCTCAGTTTGCAGAGAGATGCTTTGGCCTTGTGAATAGAGCTATGAGTTGTTAAGCATAGTAAGTCACTGTTAATAGTTAATCCTCAAGCTACTGAGAAAGCTGCTGACAATCTGTTCTCGTTCTCCTAGGCTTACACCTTTATATTCCTTTATTTCTACATTCCTATTTCTGGAATCTACATTTTTATATTCTTGTTCTTGGACCCTTCAGCAGGAGCATTAGTTCACGGCATAGTTTGGTTTGTAGCCGAATGGCTTTGATTCCTTCCTCGACGGTCACACAGCAAGTTCCCCATATGTAACTCCGCTTTCCCCCACCTCGTAAGGCTGTCAGTCACATTGGATGGGTGCAGAGGCAGGAGGATAAGAGGCCAAAGCCAGTTTGGAATATGTGGGGAAACCATCTCACATAAACAACTACATGAAAACAGTATGAATTGGCTATTTCTAGAATAAGACACAGGTCATGGGTCACTTTTTCCATCAGGTGGTCCTGGGCTGCCTATGAAACAGGCTGCACAATCCCTGAGAAGCAGACAGTAAGGACACATCTTTGTCTCTGCTTCAGCTCCTGCCGCCAGGTCCCAGCCTTGAGTACCTGGCCTGACCTCCCTCAGAGATGGAGAAACCTGAGAGTTGTAACCTGAAATAAAGCTCTTTCCCAAGTTGCTTTGGATCCTGGTGATTTATAACCCTAATAGAAACCTTAGCTAAGACAATGTCCTAAGCCCAAAACCTCATAAAGTACTTGAATTCCCCTCACCTTAAATATTGGTGAATAAGCAGGAAATCTAGAGGATCAACCTGGAAGATAAGAGAGAAGTTGTCAGTGGGTACTAGGGTCACACCAAGGGCACAAGGAGCCAAGAGAAGAGCCTAGATATGAGACCAAAACAGGAACAATATACCTCACAGGTTGTCTTAGTTAGGGTTTCTATTGCTGTGAAGAGACACCATGACCACAGCAACTCTTACAAAGGAAAACATTCAGCTGGGGCTGGCTTACAGTTTCAGAGGTTCAGTCCATTATCATCATGATGAGAAGCATGGCAGCACAGCACGCAGACAGAGATGGTACTGGAGGGGTAACTGAGAGTTCTACATCCGAATCCAAAGGCAGGAGGAAGAGACCGTGAGCCGTTAGGCCTGACTTGAGCTTCTGAGACCTCAAAGCCAGCCTCCAGAGATACACTTCCTGTAGCTAAGCCACACCAACGCCAACAAGACCACATCTCCTAATAGTGCCTCTCCCTCTGAGCCTATGGGGGCCTTTTTCATTCAAACCACACCAGGTAAGAGTTCTGTTTGTAGTTAAGATAGTTAAGAATAAGCTCCTATTTGTCCTGTGCAGGTTAGGGTTTCTGTTTTTTAGTTAAAGAAAAAGTTCCTATTTGTCCTGGGTTAAGTCCTTACAATTTAAGGTTTTTATTGGTAATTACAAATATGTTCCTGTTTCGTAGATCTGATGCAAACTGAAAAACATGGTTTTTTGGTGGTTTTTTTGTTTGTTTGTTTGTTTTCCTGAAGAAGACAAGAAATACATACATATATATATATATACATATATATATATATGTATATATATATAAAATTTCCACTTTCTCCCCACCTCCCTTTTCCCTCCCCTTCCCCACCTCCTCCTCCCTATCTAGTCTTAAGAGCAGTCAGGGTTTCCTGCCCCGTGGGAAGTCCAAGGTCCTCCCCACTCCATACAGGTCTATAAAGGTGAGCATCCAAACAAACCAGTCTCCCACAAAGTCAGTCCATGCAGTAGAATCAAAACCCAGTGCCATTGTCCTTGGCTTCTCAGTCAGCTTTCATTGCCAGCCATGTTCAGAGTGTCCATTTTGATCACATGCTCCATCACTCCCAGTCCACCTGGCCTTGGTGAGCTCCCATTAGAACAGTCCCACCATCTCAGTGGGTGGACACGCCACTCGTGATCTTGACTTCCTTGCTCTTGTTCTCCCTCCTTCTGCTCCTCATTTGGACCTTGGGAGCTAAGTCCAGTGCTCCAGTGTGGGTCTCTGTCTCTATCTCCATCCATGGCCAGATGAAGGTTCTATGGTGATATGCAAGATATTCATCAGTGTGGCTATGGGACAAAGCCAATTCAGGCACCCTCTCCTCTGCTGTCCAAGGAACAATCTGGGGACCTCTCCTTAGACCTGGGAACCCCTCTAGAGACAAGTCTCTTGCAAACCATAAAATGGCTCCCTTCATTAAGATATTTACTTCCCTGTTCCCATATCCACCCTTCCTCCATCCCACCCATCCCATTTCCCCAAACTTTCCCCAATCCTCCCCCTCTCCCTTCTCTCTAGCCATCTCCCCTTACATCCACTCCCCCCACATCCCTTGCACCCAAGTTTTGCCTGGCAATCTTGTCTACTTCCAATATCCAAGAGGATAACTATATGATTTTCTTTAGGTTCACCTTCTTATTTAGCTTCTCTAGGATCACTAATTATAGGCTCAATGTCCTTTAATTATGACTAGAATCCACTTATAAGTGAGTACATACTATATTCCTCTTTTTGGGTCTGGATTACCTCACTCAGTAAAGCGTTTTCAATTTCCATCCATTTGCATGCAAATTTCAAGATGTCATTGTATTTTACCACTGAGTAAAACTCCAATGTGTATATGTTCCACACCTTCTTTAATCATTCTTCTATTGAGGGGCACCTAGGTTGTTTCCAGGTTCTGGCTATTACAAATAGTGCTGCTATGAACATAGTTGAACAAATCCTTTTGTAGTATGATAGAGCATCTCTTGGGTATATTCCCAAGAGTGGAATTGCTGGGTCCTGAGGGAGGTTGACTCCCAGTTTCCTGAGAAACTGCCACACTGATTTTCACAGTGGCTGCACAAGTTTGCATTCCCACCAACAATGGATGAGTGTTCCCCTCACTCCACGTCCTCTCCAGTATAGGCTATCATTGGTGTTTTGAGTTTAGCTATTCTGACAGGTGTAAGATGGTATCTCAAAGTTATTTTGATTTGCATTTCCCTGATCGCTAAGGAGGTTGAGCATGACCTTAAGTGTCTTTTTGTAGTGAGGGACTGCGGGCATGCCTGCTTTTCGCCTCACCCAGCTCCCGCACGGCTAGCTTAGCCCCAGAAATAATAACACATAAGTTGTATTCATTTAAATACTGCCTGGCCCATTATCTCTAGAGAGTTAGTTACTGGCTAACTCTCACGTCTTGATTACCCCATTTCTAATAATCTGTATAGCACCACGAGGTGTGGCTTACCGGGAAAGATTCAGCATGTCTGACCTGGTGGCTGGCTCCATGGCATCTGCCCCATTGCCCTCTTCCCAGCATTCTGTTCTGTTTACTCCACCTACCTAATTTTCTGTCCTATCAAAGGGCCAAGGCAGTCTCTTTATTGACCAATGAAAATAACACAATAGACAGATAACCTTCCTCCATCATCTTTTGGCCATTCAAACTTCTTCCTTTGAGAATTCTCTGTTCAGTTCAGTACCGAATTTTTTAATTGGGCTAATTAGAGTTTTAGTGTCTAGTTTCTTGAGTTTTTTGTATATTTTGGAGATCAGACCTTTGTCTGATGAGGGGTTGGTGAAGATCTTCTCCCAATCAGTAGGTTGCCTTTTTGTCTTAATGACAGTGTCCTTTGCTTTACAGAAGCTTCTCAGTTTCAGGAGGTCCCACTTATTCATTGTTGTTCTTATTGTCTGTGCTACAAGGGTTCTACCTAGGAAGTGGTCTCTTGTGCCCATGTCTTTTAGACTACTTCCCAGTTTCTCTTCTATCAGGTTCAATGTGGTCAGATTAACGTTGAGGTCTTTAATCCATTTGGAATTGAGTTTTGTGCATGGTGATAGATATGGATCTATTTTCATTCTTCTACAGGTTGACATCCAGTTATGCCAGCACCATTTGTTAAAGATGGTTTATTTCTTCCATTGTATAGTTTTAGCTCCTTTGTCGAAAATCAGGTGTTCATAGGTTTGTGGATTAAGATCTGGGTCTTCGATTCGATTCCATTGGTCATCATCTCTGTTTTTGTGCCAATACCAAGCAGTTTTCATTACTGTAGCTCTGTAATAGAGTTTGAAGTCAGGGATGGTAATGCCTCCAGAAGTACTTTTATTGTATAGGATTGTTTTGGCTATCCTGGTTTTTTTGTTTTGCCATATAAACTTTATTATTGTTCTATCAAGGTCTGTGAAGAATTTTGCTGGGATTTTGATGGGGATTGCATTGAATCTATAGATTGCTTTTGGTAGAATTGCCATTTTTACTATGTTGATCTTCCCAATCCAAGAGCAAGGGAGATTCTTCCATTTTCTGGTATCCTCTTCAATTTCTTTCTTCAAAACCTTAAAGTTCTTGTCAAATAGATCTTTCACTTCCTTGGTTAGAGTTACCCCAAAATACTTTATACTATTTGTGGCTATCGTGAAAAGTGATGTTTCTCTGATTTCCCTCTCTATATCTTTGTTCTTTGTGTATAGGAGGGCAACTGATTTTTTGGAGTTGATCTTGTATCTTGCCACAGTACTAAAGCAATCAAACAGGTAATGAAAAACATGTTTTTTCAAACCATGCTAAATGTGTGACCCCACTCACAAGATGAATATCCTTACCATTCCTCCCTTTCATTGTGTTTCTCTAACAATGTGTAACTGCCAGCTCTCTTGCCCCTGTAAATACCTTATCTCTCCTATAAAAAAAAGACCCTTAAGCAGCCTCTCTGAAATCCTAACTTAGGGTGAAACAGCCAGCTGGCAGTCCTGATGCACCCCAAAATACAGCTCGCTTTATTTGGACAATCGTGGAATTGGTCTTTTTTCCTCTCAATTCTAATAACATGTATGACACAAAGCCATTAAAATCCACATGGACCCACTGCTGCGGGAACTAGCCAGGGTGCTCCAGATACAGAAGTGACAGAATATTGAACAGATATATGAAGAAGGCTTTTTGTAAAATCTCACATAATGATGTACTCTGAAACTAATGAACATGTACTATCCTAGGAAAGCTAGTTGTGAGACTCCAGTCTAGAACCATAATGAAAATCCCAGCCCAAAGGTCCAATAATGAGAAAAATTGATGACAAAAGCAAAAGAAGATGGGTGTCATGGCTCACACAGAAGACAAAGTCAAACTGTCACCAGCTTTTATTAATTTACATCATCCATGGATGAGATTATGTCACCAACTCTGAAAATGGAAATGTTTATTCCAGGGGACAATCAAATGCTGTCTTTACTGGAAGAACTCACCCAGACACCCCCAAACAATCTAAGAATCTGGATATCTTACAATACAATGGTACAATAATTAGGCAAGGTGGCGGAATCCATATTGATCTTTGGAGGATGATAAGAAACTAACTCAACGGAATATGTTGGCACACACCTACAATTCCAACATTTTGGTACTCAACTCAAATGCAAGCAGGAGGACCAAAAACTTAAGATCATCCTCAGCTAGATAGTGAGTTCAAGGACAGCCTGGACCACATCAAAAGAAGACTGGGAACTAATACATTATTTTGAAAACTTATAAGTGATTAGGAAAGAATTAAGTATTGGCTCTGCCTTTTATACAAACTATAACATTCTTTTTAGCAATGAAGTGGCATTTCTCTGATGAGAAAGAGGAAAATGGGGGGGGGTAAAACATTGATTTTTAAGTTGAACGGAGTAGACAGACCATTGTCCAATCTCTGTGGTTGTTTCAACAAAAGAATCTAATCTGAATTGGGTGCAGCCTCTAAAGCTAAATACAATTTTAAAAAAATGAAGATCAAACAAACATGCTGAACTACAGCAAGAAGCTGCAGCAAGAGTGATACAGAATTGGGACATTCTAAAGGAGAAACCAGGCTTGGTAGAACGCTCCTGTACTCTGAGGAAGATCAGGAATTCAAGGTCATCTTCAGCTACATAGCAAGGTTCAAAGTGAGCCTGGGTTGTATTAGACCCTGTCTCAACACAAACAGAAATTCTAGAGAACAAAAACTATTGAGAAGACAAAATAGATGCAGACGGGACAAACATGAAATGGCCAAGAACCTGATCCTGAGAGGAGATGGGTATAGTCTTAAGACAGTTAGAAACATGTAGTTGGAAACCTTAACATTGTCACTATGCTGTATGGCATTAAGAAACTATTGGGCTATTAGTAAGAATGGGACGTGTGTGTGTGTGTGTGTGTGTGTGTGTGTGTGTGTGTGTGTGTGCGCACATGCTATACATCTACATATGTGTTTTGTGCACATGTACAAGTGCATGTGGACGTCAGAGACTGATGCCATGTTTCTTCGTCTATGGGTCTCTCTCTTGTTTTAGTTGAGACACGATCACGCACTGTGCCTGTGGTTCGTGGACTGACTACAAGGACAGACAAGAAAGCGCTAAGATTATAGGGACATGCCACCGTGCTCAGCTTTTACATGGGTTCGCGGTCCCCATGCTTGTATAACGGGCACCTTACTAAGTCATCACCCAGCCTACATGTGGTCCTTTTAAAGGACT